CTTTATCTTTGATTTTTTAAAAAGATTTATTTATTCATACAAAACAGGCCAGAGTTGCAAGGCAGTGAGAGGATTCACCAGGCAGAATGGGGAGCAGAACAGGCAGATGGACAAAGTACACTGTTGAGGGGAGCAGCGGGCGGGTCAGGAGAGGTCTGCTGCACCATGTGGATCACCTCCAGGGTCAGGGATCTAACTGGCACTAAAGTGGCTGTGGTTCGCTTGCAGTGCTACGTCCTAACCCGTTGCACCACCATTGTTAATAATGTAACGATGATGTGTCTCGTGGTAGATCATTTTGCATTTAGAAATCTAAATGTTCCTCCAGCTTCCTGAATACCCATCCTTATTTCATCCCTTAACTTTGGCAAATTACCAGCTATTATTTCTTTAAATAGGGTCTCTGCTCTCCTTTCTCCACCTCTAGGAAATACCACCTTATGTTTTCTCTAAGTCTGTATTTCATATAGAGTTTCTTCATTTTTCCCAAATATTGTCTCATTTGTTTTTCTGACTGGATGACAGGACCATTTAAATTTTCAATTCTGAACTTCTCTTTTCTGCCAGTTTAATCCTACTTAAAACATCATTGTCTATATTTGTCTTCATTTCATTTAGGGTTTTTTTTTTGCTTTTTTTTTTGGTATTCTTTCAAAATCTTCAGTCTCGTTGGTGAAGGCCTTTTTGTTCCAAGGTCTCCTGTCTACGATCCTGTACTTGCTTATTTGTCTTTGACTGACCATCCAGTATCTTGATTAATGCCTTTAATATTTTCAAAATTTTCAAGTTTGGAGCTGTTTGGCCCTCAATTTCTGCATCCTTTATATAAGGCTCTGAACTTTCATTTTCTCTCTACTTTCCCATCTTATCTTCAGACGTTCCATACTTCCAATGTATACATGTCACTTTATTTGCTATTTTGAGTTTGGAGCACTATGGGTCTAGTTTTGTTTCTCTTTGTTTACTAAGGCAGGTGGTGGGTACAGGAAAGGTGACTGGGGCTTAAACAGTCTCATTTTTGCTGAGGAGTATGGTAGTAGATCACCTTTGCTTCCTCTTCTCTCTGTACAGCAAGATCCATTCAGTGTTTCAGTTATCCTAACTCCTTGGCCTGTCTCCTTGTTCTCCACTCTGTATTGGATATGTTCCAAGCTTGTAGTTTCCTGGCAAAAGGGGTTTGTTAGCATGATCTACTGGGCTCAAGTTCTGGTACCCAGTTGACCCTGACAGACAGAGGGCACCTGACTCAGGTTGTGTGTCCCCTATGGACTAGCAATGGCTTCAGCCACTGTTGCACTACAGCCATCATCGCAGAAGGCACCGCAGCCACCAACTCTGCCACCATGTGTATGTGGGAGAGACTCAGTCTACAAGTGCTGCAGCTGTCTGCTGATTCTCTCCCAAGGACTGGTGCTGTCTCTCTCACCTGTGGTTTTCACTACTACTCGGCCCACTATCAAGCCACACACAGTTCCACTAATATCTCTAGTCTCTACAGGAAAGAGGATGCTGGGGGAGGGGAGGCAGCTTATCTTGACTGCACAGGCTGCAGAATTTCCAGTGACCTCAGCTGCCCTGGTACATTTATATTCTCTTTTGAGAAGTCCCTCTGGTGAAAATTTTCAGGCCCCAGGGGTGTAGGTGCCCACACTCTGCCTATTCTTGGAGTTGGGATATTTACCTTCCTTCTCATACACCCCTTGACCTCCTGCCTCGCCTTTCCTGCAGCAAGTCACCAACTTTAGTGTATATCCTCCAAAGATTAATGCTGGGACTCTAAGAGGAAATTTTTGAGTCTTCCTTTGGGCAAGTTTTTTTGTTAGTTTGTTTTTTTAGGTGAGTTTAGGGGGAAGGGTAATTCAAGCTTTCTATTCTGCCATGCTGTAGATGGAATGCAGAATTTTCAATTTTTCAGACACCTATGGCACAATCCTCTTGGGACACCCCCAGGACACCATGTGGCACGCCTCACAATTTACACACTGCTAGGAGGGTATTTAAACATTTCAGATAGTCAGGATATGGGACATGAAGGAAAGAGAAAAGTAAAAATTCACTTCTAGCTTCTACTATCTGAAACAAAGATAAAAAGTGAAGCTAGAGGAGTTTGGGGAGAATAACTCAAGGACTCTAATACAGACTTAAGTTCAAAATGCTTTTCAGACCTTAAGGTAGGAATGTTGACTAGGGAGACAGATTATGAGCCAGAAGCTCATGGGAAAGATAAAGGTTTAGAAATAAATTTGGGAAGTTAGATGAATTTAAAGAAAAAGACAACAACACATAGAAAGTAAATATAGAAGGTGGTCAAGGACTGAGTCCTGAAGAATGCTAACTTTGGAGACCACGAAGACGAGAAAACAGCAAAGCAAATTTTGTAGTTTTATATGTATTTTACACTTAGATGTGTAAAAGGGATTGGAAATTTAGAGGTACAGAGAAATATAGCTACAACCAATGGAGTATACAGAGATTATTCTCTGCTCAGTTTAACAATAAATTAGGAATTTATTTTTATTCTTCCTCAAAAATCAGTAGGAATTATTTGCTGTCTACAAACTATGAACTCCATAGTCAGTCATCATATTCCAATAAAACAAAACAAAACAAAACAAAACGAAACAAAACAAAACAAAACAAAAACCCTTTCAGTCAAGTGCCTACGCTATTTCTGACTCCTGACCTATTGACTGTGTCTGGATAGCTACATTTCACTTGTCAACTGTTCAACTACCCCATCCCTGCCCCTGGCATGTGTCCTTACGTCTGGATTCAGTTCTCACCCCAACTAACAATTTTTAGTTGCCCAACATTGACCAGGAGGCACAATGAGATCGTGTTCCCTAGAGCTGCCAAAAGTTCTTGGCATATGATCAATGAAGCACACAGTGAGTGAGTGTTCAGTAATTAATCAGGTGACAGAGAACAACTGACATGTTAGGTAACTGTAGAATGAGTCAGATCAAGGCTGGAGCAGGGAATGGGAAATTTCAAGGATGATAGCCACAGGAGAATCTGCTCTAGTTACTTGGTCGAAAAAGATATCCTTTTACCAAGAAAGTTAAAATAATCTGAAATTTTACCACATGTCCATGGATCAGGATTTCCTGGGCCCTAATAATGTTATAAGCTAAATTATAGCTCTGCACACAATGACACTTGTTCATTTTGCCCCATACTCTAGTGTTAACTTGGACACATTTCTTACTCTCCCTGTTTCATCTGTAAAGGGAAATTTAATTTACAGGTATCTATGAATATTAAATGAAATGATTGTAAGTAAAGTACATATAGTATATAGAAAGAGTTTGCACAGATTAGTTATTCTCATGTGTACTTCTATGACCACAACATGATAGCTGAATCATAAGCATTTCTTTAAAACCACGTATAACGTTCTTCTGGTACAGAAGAATATAAAATGGCTATTCATTTGTTTGTTTTTTTATGTGTGACCTATTATATGATGGAGTTTAAATCTGTTTTGAAAAAACTCTCCTCCTTTCTTCTGAACTTTCCTACCAGTGTTTGCAAATCATGTTACACAAAGAAGAAAATACAAATTCTACTAACATGAGATTGACAACACCAATTGTGAATAAATATCAAGCAAAATAGAAAGCTCCCACCCCAACAATTATTCTGCAAGAGCTATTCAGTAATGTCTATATCCTTTTAAGTATAATATATTCCTATTTCCCTTTATGAAATGTAAATTTAATTAAAAATATTAAAGTTGGCAACAGAAGCAGGAAACCATTTATAAGACCAGCATCACTATTTTACTTTATTAATGAAAAGTTATGTAATAGTTTCAGTCAACTACAGAGTTCCTTTCTTACAGCCCTTTAATATTTATAGAAATTTAAGAGTTATACGGCTGGGGCTTATTTCTGAAACTGAGAATTTCTATTATCTGACAGCAATCAATTATTTTAGCTCAATTACAGAAATGGTTATTTAAGAGTTTCGTTCATCTTTATTCATACTCTTTAACAATAGGTCAACTGTGTCTTGTACTTGACCTAGAAGCTCAAGTAGGTGTTACAGAACAAATTACACTAAGAGGGTCTCAACTACAAACCACTGAGACACATTCATCACTGGCCTTTTTGCTTGTAATGGTACGTTAAGGAAAAAAGTTGTGCAGTGGAAATCATTTAAAAGACCTGCTTGTGCTAGCAGAAAGTGTTGTACTAAACTACCAAAAACACACAAGTATCTTAAGGGAATCGAAGCACGAGTCTGCAACCAAGGAGATGTTCACAGACACTATGTCCATTTTCAAACCATACATTGCCTATAAACTGAAAAAGGAAACCTAGAGCCTTATATTTCCCTATACTAATTCATGAAACCTGTAATTTTTAAGGTAATTAATAACTTTGACTTTTCCAACTATTACACAGAAAAGCTACTTTAAAGTATAATTTTCAAATTAATAAACACTTTTTTAGCTATAATACATTTTTATTTTTAATAAAATTAACTTTTTAATCTTTTTTAATGAATTTTAATTTTTATAGTTACAAAGATAGTATAGTTTCTGTATATACTTTGTTCAATTTCCCCTAAAGTGAACATCTTATCTAACACAGTCATCAAAACTAATAGTTCAAAGTTGGTACTGTTAACTAAGCTACAGAATCATTTGCATTTTGCTTATTCATTAATTCATTTTTCCAGTTCTAAGATCCAATTCAGGCATTCAGTGATTTTTTTATAATGATTTAAGCTTTGTTAACAAGCCAAACACATGAGTCTTATTATCATTTTCTTTATTATAAATATTGCAGAAAATAAAAGCAAAGCTCCCTGGAAAACATGATTTATTGGATATCTGGGAAATGTTAAATATTAAGACTTATTTTAAAAATTTATTAAAAATATTTTTATTTTACTGAGGAAAGAGGTAAATCACTGAGGTAAGATATTTACCACTGTCAAATTTTTCAGAAGCCTTAAGGTAAAATTATTAAATTATTTAATTGCTTACCTACCTCCGAGGACTCCAGTAAGATTTATGAGCTGTAGAGTAAGTCCTTTTAATTAATCCTGAAATAGAAAATAAAGTATTATTACAACCACATCCATGTAATCCATTTATATCAAGTACATATAAAAACTGCGTTCCTTTCATCCCCAACTTTCATTTTCAATTACTCTGATATTTTTATTAAGATAACAAAAGAACTAATTTAACTGAGAATAATTCATAAGTTTATTTCAGTATGTCTTTCTTGAAAATGACAGACATGCAAAATTTAATGAAAGTCTTAAAATGAATAGAAAACGCTCTAGGAAGAAAAAAAAAAGAAATGTCACAATGAATAAAAGTGACTAAGAATACTTCACATTCTTTTCCATGTGCATAATGCTATGGAAAATACAAAATAGTCATAAACAAGTGAATCATATTGAGGGCATGGCCTTTTTGATGGGAAAATAGCAACTGAGAGCTTGGAATGGGAAATTTTCAAAAAGACACGGGTCTGGTAAAGTATGTGTGTCCGTTTGTCTGACACAGTTCCAATTTATGCCTGTTGTCCCATATCCCATCTAGTTTATTATTTGTTCTGGATATTCCATCTTACAGTGACTTTTTAAAACAGTTGCATTAAAATAAGCCAGGGTTTCTATTTTAGGCTCTGCCATGATCTCATTCAGCAGTGCAAGATGTAAGTGTAGTAAGTACAATGACAGCTAAACATGTGGTTAAATCTAAAATCACCAAGCAACAACCCATGTAACAAAATTCTCAAAGTAAATAAATAGTCACCTGCAGAAAAGGGACATGCATTTGGACATGAGTAGCTAAGGCAGCTAATTCCTTCAGTCTTGGGTGGAGGTGGAAGAATTAGCAAATGCTGTTGCCCCTGCTTACAATTAGCTCAAAATGCCAGACAGGAAGAGGGAGAAGGTGCCTTTCGTATTACTTTATAAAACAGGACTTTTCATTTAGATCAAATGACTTTTTTAATATTCTCTTGCTCATTTCTGAATACACATTATGTTGTTTACACAGTCAAAGTAAAGTGAAAGCTATTACTTTTTTGACTCTATTAGTAGAAGTAATTCTACTCATTCTACTAATAATACTTAATAGGAAAATACTTAAGTATTTTAATAATACTTAAAAGGTTTCAGTTTTATATCAGTATTCAGAAAAGCATCAAAATAGAAAATCACTAAGAAAAACCATTAACAGAAATGGATTGATTGTTTTCATCCAAATCATAGAATCAAAGTAAAGCTTTTGGAAGTTCATTTTGTAGAATTAAATTCTATAGTTGCCATAAACACTGAGTTGTTAATGCTTAGTCATGCTCTTAGATGAAATAACGGTTGTGGAAGGTTAGGTTCCTGGAACTCTCTGGTCACATTTTCATCAACTGATCAAACATAACCTTGTTTACTGTTTAAAGCCATTTTAATATATTGCTGATTAATTAACATTGAAATCAATTAATAGCACTAAATCTGAGTGAAACTTTTTTAAAAAACACATTGTTCTCTATAATTGTGCATCACTGCCTTCCTGCACTTAAGAACACTTTGTAATACTTTGACCCTATACCTGTGAACCATTTTGGACACCAACAAGAAGCACAAATGTGCAAAAATTGCCCCCACAAAAAGGGCATTTGTTTATAGAATGAAAGCCAAAAAAAGGCAAAGAATTGTTTTGTTTATCCCAGCTGAGAATGAGTGTTGATCAATCCAAATTTTTTGTCACTCAGCAAAATGCCTATGAATCACTACAGTAAAAGGATCATGCATATTGATTTTGGAGTTACAATAAATTTTTGTGGGTAGAATCCACAAAATTGGAATATGTGAATAATGATGATGGATTATATTTGCTTTTACAATAATAACAAATACAAATTTTGGTCAATCACAGTGTCTTAGAGTAAAACCAATGCTCTTACTAATTTTCAATAATATGGAACAAAAATAAACTTGGGCATGCTTGTGAGAATTCTCAAATTTTTATTACTTGTTTCTAATTAATTTCTTACTAAGTTAACATAGTTTTACAATACTACATGACTCAGAAATATGAAAATTCTCAATTTTCCCAAATAGTAAACAGTGTGAAGGGTTTCAAAGTTTATAACCATAATATTAAACTTTGAAGACCATATATAATTTTATGACGCACAAAATAACACAAGCATACTTCACAATGATATTTCATAAAGCTACTGAGACCCAAGATTAGGTAAAATTATGATTAAGAAACTAAGTTTTACTGAGAATTCCATTTACATTCCCTTTAAAGTCAAGAAAATCAATATAGGCTAGTTTAATTTTATTTTAATATACATGGTAATATTTTAATGATTTTTATGAAATAAATTTTAAATAGTTTATTAGGCCTATTTTATACACTTAGCTATATAAAACCAATTTTCAGTCAACAACAAAAAAAATTTTTACCAATTTTAAGGATTCCTAAATTCTCAAAAGAGTAATGAATTAAATGGCTCACTTAAGCATAATGGTTAATTTTATGTGCCAACTTGCCTACATTGTGATGCCTGTTTGTTTAGACTAACATTCATCTACATGTTGCTGGGAAGGTTTTTAAGGATGTGATTAGCATTTACTACCTGTTGACTTTAAATAAGGCAAATTACTCTCCATAATGTAGTGTGTTTCATCTAATCAGTCCAAGGTCTTAAAAGCAAAGACTTAACTTTTCCAGGGAAGAAGCAATTTTGCTTCAAGAAAGTAACACAGAAATCTTAACTGATTTCCAACATGGTAGGCTCCTTTTAAATTTTATACTTAAGAGTGTGCCATCAACTCTTACCTAAATTCCTGTTTGGTGGCATACCCTACAAATTGCACTATTACCTGCTCCCACAATCACATAAGTTTAAAATAAACTAGATGAGTGATGAGTGAAAGACAGATGGGTGGATGGGCAAATGGACAACCTACCTAGGTTAGTAGATAGACAGGCAGGAAGGAATATAGATGAGAGAAAGACAAAGACAAAGAAAGAAAGATAACCTACTAGTTCTGTTTATCTACAGTAATAACTATACTAGTGAGGGACATCTGAAGTATCAAGGAACTCTACACAATGACAGTTGTCCCCTGATAAGAGTGGGCAGTGAGGGGAAGGGCTTTATTTTAGGAAGCATGTAATTAAACTCATTAACATTACCTTTAAAGAAGAGAATCCAAGCTTCTAGGGTCATATGCTCTTATCCTAAATGACATCATAAAATAAAATAACCCATCTTATTGAGAATAGGCCATATTTTACTACTATTTATACTTCTTTTCTAGCAAGGGACCTTAGAGAGTGAGAAGATACTTTAGAATATTACAAAGTAAAGATTTTATGTTGCTAAATGAATGTGTCCAAAGACACTGTAATTTCTAAATGCTACAAAGATAGGTAGAGTATACAAAAAAAAATGTCTTCCAAGATTTCAATAATCACAGTGCTACTAACAGTATTAATGATGTCTTTCTGAGATAGTTGCATGTATATTACATGGGATAAAAATACATAAATGCGGCCCTCCCTGGTGGCACAGCGGGTTAAAGCACAGCACTAAGAAGCTAAAGCCACTTCCGCATGAGTTCGATTCCCGCCTACCCCGGAGGTGACCACATGGAGGTGACCCACCCGCTGCTCCCCTCAGCAGTGTGCTTCGTCGATCTGCCTGTTCTGCTCCCACTCTGTCTCTGGTGAATCCTCTCACCCTCCGCATCTCTGGCCTGTACCCCAGTTCTGTACAAATAAATAAATAAATATTTAAAAAAAAAATACATAAATGAATTATTATGGGGTTTTCTAAGTCTAAATCATCTGAGTCATTAAAAACTAGGAAGCATATGGGGATTACAACTGAGATGAAAAGTGCACAAAATGAAGAATGATGTAAAAAATAAAGAAAGAAAAATATAAAAAAGAAAAACGATGAAAAACAGGATTCTTAGCACAAAGGCAATACATATAGATGGATGATTCTAATAACCTGTAATCTAGAGTTTTAATTAGGAGTATTGATATGAATTATGCACAATTTTTATTTTATCTTATATATGAGCATGTATATGAGTTGTTTTCAGGAAAGGCCTAGAAACAACCACCAATCCATTAATAATGAGTTTCCCTGAATATTGTTTGGAAAAGCAGCAAGCACACAGATACCCTGGGGCTTCTAGGGAGTTGAGAAAAGGTAAACCACCTCTTAGAGGCCAGCAGTAAAGCGCATACAACAAGGCCCTGGCCCCCAGATGAGCTTAGTTTGTTGGGTGGGGGTGTGTGGAAACACTCCATACACACCACTAACTGCTGCAGCTGCAGCCCAGGGGTCCATAGCCCAGAGGGAAAGAGCACCTCCAGGAAGCCCATGGGGAGTGGAGATAAGGTAAACCCTCAACCCAGAGATGGGGGTAGGGGGGAGTGTGCTCAGCTAGGCCCAGCCCCTCAACTGGAGCTATGGACCCATTAACCACTGCTGCCTCAGTCCAGGCAGACCACGAATGCTGGTCAGTGTGCTCCAGATGCATTATTGTTTGGAAAAGCTGCATGTGCATGGACACACTGAGGCATCTAGGGAGTAGAGAAAAGGTAAAACTCCCAGAAAAGGTGAGCTAAAAAAGTGTGTGCAGCCAGTGTTAGGGTGTGTGGCACAGAGTTTGAGAGAGGAGCTCAGTACCCACAGTGGCGGCAAGACTTATCTTGGAACATACCAATGTTAGGACTTTAAACACTGGACAGTGCTTCAGGGCTGGCACAGCACTGAACGTGAGCTCCGGTGCTGAAGCTGAAGCTCCCCTCCTACCCGGTCTATTTCTTGGAAAAACAGAGGGAAAAGCACAGTTCTGAAAGTTCAAAAAAGTTCACAGTTCTGAAAGTAGCTGACATCACATAGTGCCTAGAACAAAATCAACTACTACCTATTGTTGGAAATCAGGGTCCCAAGGTTCGCTTGATCCAATAAGATAGGGACCTCATGAGCCCCTTCTTAAACTAAGTAAATACAGAACAAGTGAATCTCAAGCATCAGCACCCATCAATCCAG